TTCATTGTACAAGAAATGTACCGTAGAATTAATACTTCCGATGGTAATTGGTACAATGTAATTCAACCTTGTTTTAATCTTCTAAACGAAATTAACAAGTCGCCGATACACGTGGTGACCTATAAGTTCTCGATGCAGAGAGGAGGCAGACCTTCTAACACGTGATAATGCGATCGGCAATTACAAGATACACTGTTAACTTGGTCAGGGTCGTTAAGTCCTAACCGAATTATCTTCTTTCTTAGTGGAAATCCAATATACTATTCTCGTATCCTGGGTGACCTTTTCTTTTTCCGTCAAGCAAGACGACATGATGGTACAGTATTGGTATAGACTTTTAAGTATTCATCTAAAGTCAAATCGTTGATTAATATCGTCGCAAATTGTTTATTTCTTTCATATATCATATGAAAATCAATTTCAAACAAGTTCCCATCACGTGCTGTTACTGAAAAATTCTTTAGGCGTATTCTGTCCACTCTATTATCACAGATAAAAAATAATTGATCGACGCGGTACTGAAACGAGTAACGTTGCAGCGGTTTCATGTCCGTTGATCGACACATCAACGACCTCGTTCTCAATGCATCACCGCGTGATGCACACATGCGCTTCAGCCTCCTCGTAATTGCACGATCATTTCCCATTGCCCGTGGTGGCGTGCTCTATCTACGATGAACCTTTTACGAACGATCTATCGTTTCATTTCTCATTCAACTTTCTTCGTCTCTTCGACAAATGTTTACCTCCCGACACAAAGTTCCATAAATTTCAAATCAAATGTACCCTTAGAAACTTTTAGATCAGTTCAAATGTCCACGTAAATTCACTAATAGTAATTTTGAAACCGCAAAATTGCACAGAATGCACAAAATATATAAAAAAACATATATATATATACATATGGAAGGTACAACATATCCAAGGTACAGTACTTACTTTCTACGGGAAAATCTCTTTTCCATCATAATTGTATTTATTTAACCGTGTCCTGAAAAATTTTCATAAATTTCCACCATCTATTCATTAATCCCGACTTAAAAAAATCGTTTTTACTTTAAGGGCACTTTTGTGAATGTATCATCCGTGCGTCTTTGTGACCACAGAGGCTCGTGTTCGATTTTCGAAACCGTTAATCCACCGGTCAGAAACGATCGATGGGTAAGGCGAGACCCCGGACACAGGATCATTTTACGATATCGTTTCAGCTAAACCGGCCGATTTGTGTCGCGGTTTCGCAACAACTGTGTCGTTCACACTAATTCGTAGGTGGGTCCGTAGGTAGACAGGTACATAAGACGGGGAGTCGGACGTATCGACGTCACAAACTTCCAGGGACTAAAGACGATTAATGGATATGCAAGAAAGTCTCGGCTATCGATTGTTTGCTTTATTTTCGAAAGCAAATTGATCCCAAAATATCATGTACCGTGCGAGGAATTCGCAGTAATTGAATTTTGTATATGCAGAAATCAGGAACCTGTGCTAATTGAATCTAAATGTAAAATTTCAACGTTCGCTTATGTTAAATCCACACCTTCAGTCTATCTTGAACAGCCTGGTTCACTGCACTGACAAGTATAAGAGTGTCTTGCAATCTGCAAGAGTGATTCTACACGAGAAATTAATTTCTGACTGTGAACACAAATGGTAAAATCGATATGTATGCGTTTTACGTGATAAAGTAAGCGAGGGCCTAGATAAAATCTGTTCGGCTTATATTACTAGTGTATGGAGAAAAGTTTTCTTGATCATTATTATTATTTTCAAACTTAAAATGTTACTGCAATTATTATTAGTACATTCTTTTCGGAAATTTCAGATACAAAAAAAAATACTCCAGATAATCAAAGTTCGCAGTCCTTGGCACCAATTCACGGTAAAAAAAGGAGAAGAACGTCCGCACGGCATAGATCGTTTTCTAATTTTCATTTTAATTTAATTCCGCCTTCGCGGCGGGGTGAAAGGACCGCGAGTTGGAAAATCCACGAGGGAACGCGCACTGCTTCTTATTAAAATCGTAATTACGCGACCGGGCATTACTTTTCGCTGAGCTCGGACGAGAGACAAAGCCCGTTAGGAGACGCGGGACTCGTCTCGAAGCTAATAAACTGTCCACCTCGGGCAACAGACGTTTTTTTCTTGATTAAATCACTGATCAATCGCGCATTTGCATCCCGGTGTCGCTAGGGAACACGCGGCGACGGCTAACGAGATACAATCCCCGTGAAAGCTTCAAGAAAAATACCCGAGGCGAAATGATTATTCTATTTTCTATTACCTACTCCGTAATGTAAGTCTGTTCTGATAACCCTAGAGATGAACCTCGCTTTCCACGCCACTAATTAATTATTTCTTATTGCTCTACGTTTTCATATTCAATAAAGTCCTTGCTAATAATTATTATTAACACGTTATGTGCCACGAAAATCTTGACCGTTTTTCCGTAGAGTTATCCGTCTGTAGTAAAGACAAGCAGGACAAGTATTAATTATTTAACGTTATAATTCTTACATTACACCATTATCAATTTAGTTACGTTATTAAACATTTTCATTCAGTATCGGTTACCTTGCACGTTATGATTGTTTTCAAGTAATTCAGAAGCGTCGGCCATAGGCGACTGACATGCCGCTTAACGTGTTACCGTGTGACACAACCTAGATTCAGTCTCAACAAAACTCGACTAAAGCTTAAAATTAAGTTGAACCAGTCTAAAGTGCAAACTTTAATAAAACAGGATTGATCATCATCATTATTTCAATTATATTCTACATTTCCTAGGGATTCACCAACTGACACAGGGTTTCCTGAAAAATGTATACAATACTTTAGTACAGAAAGACTGATGGAAAATGAACCCCTAGTTGTCCCAGGTACCAGACCAACCCTAAAAGAAGGAAACAATAATGACGCTAATAATAATAACGCACGGCCATCAATCTAGTAACTTCCCGGACCATGTTGACAGTCGTAGCAGCACGTCATACACCGTGGAACGCACGTTTTCCTGGGATTCGTCATGGTTCCGCGTGTCTCGGAGGGCCGCTGTCGCGATCCAACGAGGGCTCTAGATCCGGCCGACATCCCCAATCAATTAATTAAGCGAGCGAACGGCGTGTTGCTCGACTAGAAGAGGAGAGTGGGGGTTCGCCTAATTAATCGAGCAGTCTCGAACAGGCCGGCTACACCTCGCACACGATCTTAACGGTTAAAGTACCATTGTATCGCGAAGCACGGTTGGCGGCCGCTCTTCGTCCATGCCCCGAAACGGGCGACGATGCTTATCCGGTCGCCACGATCGGTGGCGTTGATCGATGGATCATCGATCGCGACGCCGCTCGCCTCGTTTTCCAATCGGTCTCACCTCGACACAATCGATGCTGATGTAATCACATTTCGGTCAATGTGGATCGTTTCCCCGGGTGACGCTTTTCAACAGGACACGCGCCCGATTCCGATTTCGTCGGCCCCTTCGTGAGATTGCGTGACATTGCGTGACTCGATTATCTTTTCGATCGGAGTCTCTTTGTGGCCATTGTCCGGCTACCTTCATTGAACGATTCTTTTGCCTCCTCGAACGGAAAGAAAAAGGACAACGGCCAAGTTCGATGAAGCATTTCAACAGTTAAAACTCTTTCCCATGACGCAATTCCATCGTGAGATGAATTATAAATGAATGCTACCCACCTGAAGACTATATGTTTGTTACAGTTTGTGTCTAAGAGTGTCTTGCTTGTAGGACAAATCATTTTCTTTGATAGGATACTGGAATTAAAATGGCAATCTGAATAGTGCAAGGTGTCAGGAGTAATTTGTATTGAAAGAAAGGTGGAGGGTGAAAGATAAAAATTGTTAATCACGATGACATCGGGTTCCCGAGGACAAGAGGACCGCGCTAGATGGCCGAGATATTATTAGAGACTCGTGCACGGGTAGCTAGTTAAAAATCCGATCGATAAACAACCGCTGACCCTCCGTCCGCGCACTGAATAATTAACAACGTGACAGATACGAACGTTTTTAATTAAGAGGATCTAAGTCAGCCGAACGTCACCCGATGCAGTCTGGTCGAATAACATCGAAAGACGATGTGTGGAGAGCACCCACGATCCCGTAGATCCCGAATCGTACCACGATTTTGAACTATTTCCCTCGGCGAATCACTGCGTCGTGACGGTTCGCGAAAAAAAGGAACACACCGGGACCGAGGTTGTGAACACGTTGGCAAGGCTGTTCAAGTCTAATCTGCGTTTCGTCAGAGCTACGTGCCCGGTGTGTGGCTTGCGACACCGCAGCGACTATTAAACAGCGTGTACATCGAGGCGAGAAACGTGTGTACGATTCTGTTGCAACGCTGAAATGGATCTGTCCACATGGCCTTCTAGCCTCGATGTCGCTCGTTTTAGTGACCGGTCTAATTGATTACGCTCGGTTCTAATTACACAGAAATAGACGCCGCCGCTCGCTTCTCGTGCAGCGTTAACAAAAATAAATTAAACGATCCGCGCTCTCCAATATTTAACCCCCTGCCACCTGACCTCGGGTCCGGCTCGTGGCGGAGACTTTAGATTCAGTTCGATAGATATATATGTTATCCGTATCTAATCGCCATCGACCCAAAGGAAAAACTAATCTTAATCTTCACTGTTTTATTTAAAAAATGAATGATTACTTTTTTAATTAAAAGCGTCTAAGTTGAAAAGATTATAATGGAAAAAAATTCATTAAATGTAGAGGATTTTAATATACAGAATGCCTGAGAAATTAGAGTCGAAAAACTAGCCACGGGGTTGTATATACGGACCCTGCGAATAATCAATAATATTGAATAAAAGATTTTTATTAACGGAATAAAGGAAAAGCATTCGCAGAAGGAAAGAAATATTCGAGTTTACAGAAGTGAATATATTGATACAATATACATGGACATATCAGGGTAAAGTAAAAAGTACGACGCGCGATTTGCGTGCACGCGTCCAACATTCTCTAACCATCATGTTTCTGTATTATTCATGGTAAAATCTGTTTCCTCGTTCGCAACAAACGGAACAGTAACAAGTGCGTGCGCTGCAGCTTGGTGTCGTTTCGCCAAGATTATGGCCTATAGAACCATTTCCTCGAAGTTTAAAAATATTATACAAAAAAGCGTATCAGTATACAGAAATATATATATATATGTACGTATGTTCCTATATATATATACATATATATTCATACGATTCGTTCTTTTCGGTAAAAACGGCAGGAAAAAACTGTTCCGAACAATCGTAGCGCGGAACGAGAATCGCGGGAGTGTAATTATCGTTTCGAGCATCTGCCGTAAGAAAGTTAACGGTAGGCGGAATGGTTCAACGTGTCCCGGTGCATCTCGGTTGATCCCCTAGTAGTGGCACATCATTGAATTCCAGGCATTCTCTGGACAACGCTGCTCGCGGAGTACGCCCGATTGATTTTTAAAAGCAAACTCCAGGCAGCAAAGTTTACAGTTAAAACGTGCGTTTAAAATATGCCACTCGAAATAGATGATCCGACCGAAATTCTATCGATCACTGAGGCTTCTAGCGATTTAGGGACTCTGATATGCTGCGACGTATTCTACTGAGTCGTTTAGTTAGCAAGGTTGGAGACTTTCATCTACTGACATCGAAATCTTTCATTGTGCCCTTTCATGATCATATCTTTATAAATTAATTCGAGTTACAGCGCTTGGAGTGTCGGTCCTAATTTGTAGATCTATTAACGAGTACAATCGTTGAGTGATATTGTATACAAATTATAATTGTTACGTTAGATGTGAAAAAATTAAGAAGGAAAAAGGAGGATCATTGTGTAGTCTGAACCTTGTTAGTTGAATCATCAGTGAAGCAATCAACGATTAAACCAAAACTCAGTTAATTGAAATCTATTAATCAATCTAAGGAGGAGATACTTTCTTTGTTAAGTCGGATAGTAGCTAAATGATAAGATCAGGCGTGTAGGAAACTATTAAGCATAACGGAATCTGTTATGTGTAATTAAGACCTACTCGTGAAGGACTTTAGGGTTTTTCAGCTCTCTAATTAATCGCTTTAAATCAATGACATTAAACTCTCTAAAATCCTTTCTCAGACTAAGACAACTTTATAAATAGAATTTAAATAAACAATGATTCGAATTGAAACAGTTGGTATCTAGGTTAGCTGCTCTAATCATCTAACTCGTCCAGTTAATTAGAGGATTCTTCCTGATAGTATCTAAGCTTTTAAAACACTTATTGCTTTCATTATCAAAATACAGGAACAATGATCGATAGTGAAATTTTTCATCGAATGTATGCAAGGTAGTTTGACTTCTTTTAAGAATGTATCGATTGCCTTTGAGGTTAAGTCACGCTACCCGAGAGCCACACTATAACTTTCCTTCTCGATCTCCCCTCTTTCACGAACTAACAAAAGAATCGACACATTTTAAATATAGTTCTAAATCTAACTTCTGAAACAACTCGAGAATTCAGTAACAAATGTTACGTTACATTCTAAAATCATAACGCAAGTATAAAATGGCGAACCTTCCACGAAAAAGAAATCATGATGCTTAAAAAATCGAAAATCTACACATATTAGTCCTCCCTTTATTTGTTCACTATATGCAAAACGCTACAGCTTACACATTGCATATACAAGTATCCGTTATAATAAAATCAAATAATATCCGTTATAATAAAATTAAAAAAAAATAGTTCTCGTGATCCTAACGTCTGATACAGTAATGTTAACTCAAATTGCGATCCACAACGTCAAGGATGCGGATCATCATCCATCGTACACCAATATTGTACTGTACAAACTTCACGTAATCTGTCCTTCGTCAATACATGCGTTCCGCTCCGCGTTAAATGCGTCCAATGCGATCACGTAGTAACATCGCCTCCCACTATTCATCATTTATAACGAAGAAGAAAAACAGAAAAGAACAAACAATTGTGTATATTCGTTTGTAGTAGAGATCGCGCAACCGAAATTCATTGATGATAATGCAGTATGTAGATCGACAGGTTCAAACACGAGCGATCTTCGCTTGACATCAATCGTTTCGTCCTACCATTAATACCAAAATTATATTTTCAAATAACAATAGAAAAATCAATTGATCAAGACTGGATGCAAAGATCACGCCCGCGTTAAGCCACGTCGAGAAATGCTGTCATTATAAAACAACGTTCGTTGTACGGGATCGGTGACCCATAAAAAATGAAAAGCAGGATCACCGACTCCGGAACGAACAAAGTCAAAAGGCGTCTTTGAAAACTGTAAACAACTGACATAAAAATATTAAACAAATAAATGGATAGACTCTCTCTGTCTCATTTAACTACCCCCATCTCTCGCTCACTCACTCTTATTCTCACTCTCATTCTCTCTCTCATTCTCCCCCTCCCCTCCCCTCGCCCCCCTCTCTCTTTCTCTCTCGCATTCATCACTCTCTACAATAATCGCGGGTTATTTACAGAACTCCTCGTTGATCAAGTCAGCATTGCCCATATTTAATGAGAACTAATCCCGTGAGGGTTAGAGACAAGTGAAACTGGCTGAAGGTATGAGGAACGTACCGTTGAAACAAGTATGTTTCAATTATCATGTATATGTATATACGGATTCTATGTTCGCGCGTGTAATGCGTGTGCCTGCGACCCGTACGATCATCATATGCCACACGGACAAACATGGAACGCGATTTTGAGTACAAAAGTTAAGAGCACAGCGTTCGTTTCGGAGAGCATCGCTGCTCCTGTAGAATCGGTACACCCGGTATACAAGTCGCCTCGTATATCCAAGTCAAATGTTCGTTCAGACTGTCGGAAATTTTGAAAAAGTTTAGTTCACTGTATCATGGAACTTGAAGTAATGTATCTTCATGGCCCTGTTGTTCGGATACTTAATCTTGCAATGGGGACATGTCGCGTCCACTGCGTTTTGAACAACGTACAGTGACAAATCAGTCTCCCGATGGAAGTTCTTGCTCTTGCCCGCATCATAGACGGTGTTATGAGCGGTGAGCATGTGGTCGGTCATTGCTTGTCGGTTGAATACATGACGGCCGCACAGATTGCAGTTGAAGATCATGGTCGTGTGGGTCATCTCGTGAGCCTTCAGGGTAGACTGGGATGGGAACATCAGTTTACATCCGTCAATAGGGCATGCGTACTTTGGCGGACTGTTCTTGTGCTTGATGGTGAAATGCTGGCGCAGGTTCGACAGGCCAGAGAACGACTTAAAACAAATGTTACAGGACATCTTGCCATCACTCCCCGATATCGGTATGCATTGCGTGCTCGAAGTCGTAGAAGCTTTTGCCACGTTTTTCATCATTCGTGATTTACTATGCATTAATTGCTTATGTTTATACAGCACACTCATGTTCGCGAAGAACTTCCTGCACACGTGGCACATAACCGGCTTCTTGCCAGCATGCATCGAATTCGCTAGAACGGCTGGTTTCGATAGGACCTCCTCCTCCTCCTCCTCCTCCTCTTCTTCCTCTTGCTTCATCCTCTTCAAGCTGGGCTCCTCCTGGGACATCCTCCTTGTGCTTGAGTAGACCGCCTGTTGCCGGTGATTGAACAAGTCGCTGTGCAAATTCATCCTGTGACGCTGCAATGACTGGTTGCTGCAGAAGATCTTGTGGCAAATGTTGCACAGATGCTGGTTAGGCATTGATTTCTTCCCTAGCGATTGGAACTTTACGGCCGCAACAGTCGTGGCTTTGTGGAGCTTCTTGTGCCTCCAGAGGACCTTCTTCGAGCTGTAGAACTTCCCGCAAACTTCACACGGGAAGGTTCCTTGATTTCTGGGTCGTCTGATTCGAGATACGCCAGCACACGCCTTGTGCCACTGCATATGCATATTCAGCGCCTCCTTCTCGGCGAAAATAGTGGAACAAACATCACACTGGAACTCTTCGCCCGTAAAGGACTTCTCGGTCTTATGGGCACAGTGCACGTCCCACAAGTGTTTTCTTAACTCGGTCACGTCGTTGAACTTGTCGTTACATACCTGACACTGGAATTTACCTTCCGGTTTCATTGATGGCGAATTGGGGAACGATTTCCTTGCTCTGGCAGGTTTGTCTGAGCTGGCGTTCAGAACTTTCTCCTGTTTAGGTACGATCGTGATGGAGTTAGCGATCGGTTTCTTGTCGTTATCGGTAGGGGCGATGGCGTTACGTAGACTCAACCGCGAGTTTGTCCTGTTATGCCAACCGCGGTGTATTTTCAGAGACGCTTCCTCAATGAACGTTTTACCGCAAATGTCGCATTCGTAACCACCACTTCTCTTTGCTCCATGAGCGGTTTGAAAATGGAGATTTAGGTTCGCTTGGAAGACGAACGTCTTCGGGCACTGGGGACACTGCAACATTGATTTGGCGGGTTTGTTGTGCTCACTCGTCAAATGCTTATCGAAAATCTCCTTGGTCTTAAAGGTGCGAGGACACTCAGGGCAACCCAAGTATGACTTGTTAGGCTTATGAATGTTGCGTATGTGCCGCCTGACGTTCGCGTAGTTCGAGAACACTTTGCCACATTGAGCACACTCATTCTTGTTAGAACCCGGGTCTGATGTAACACTCATGTTCGTCGGATTTGTGTTCTCCATGCTCTCGTTCACGGTTCCATATTCTACGCACGAGCTATTCGCGTTTCTCTCATTGGGATCCTCTATGCCATGGTCCTTCATATGGATCTCTAACGCGCCCGCACTGCTGAACATGCTACGGCAAATTACGCAGGAATAGATTTTTACCTTCAGATGCAAGTTTCTATGCTCGGTCAACTCAGCTCTCGTGGCAAACTCCAAGTTGCATAAGGCGCAACTATATTGGACACTTTCAGGTATTCTGCTAGCGTTCATCTCTGCCTCGAACGTATCCCAATCTTTAATGGGCGTCGAGAAGTTCTGCACACCCTTGCCAGAATCTTTTCTTTCAAGCGATGGTTTTTTATTCGCCGTGACACGGTGTGTTTCATGATGCGCTAGATAGTCACTTGAAGCACGAAACTTGGCACCACATTCAGAACACAAGAAGTCTTTCTTCTTGTGATCTAAGGTGATATGATTATGGAATTTTTTAAACACCAAGTATGTCATCCCACAGTGTATACACTTGTAGGAGGTTCGGACTTCCGGTTGAAGACGTTGACACAAGTCTCTGTGCTTGACCATATTGGGTCTGTATCTGTAGATCATTCCGCATAAGTCGCATACGTGATTGTGTGCTGGATCGCCGTTTTTGTAAGGACGCGGAATATTCAGTCCACTTGAGACCGATCTTTTTATAGGTTCCTGTTTAGAAGCTGGTAGAGGAGAAATTGGTTTCAATTTAGGCGGTGATCTCGATGGCGAAACCAGTTGCTGATACTGCTTGTCAGAGTGTTTTGAAAGGTGGCTGAGCAATTCCTTTCGATTTTGCATAGAACGTAGGCACATGTTACATGTGAAATATTTTTCTTCGCCTTCATTTGGTATTACCAATGCGATCTTCATTGCACACTCAAACGAAGCGCCACAATGCAGTTTATACATTGATCGATCCGGGAATTCTGTCAAACACGCGATACATGTATACGGTCTCAGATCCGGCATATGCTGACGAATATGAGACAGTGTACTTCTACGATCGTTGAACGATTGTTGACAGGAATAACACGAGAACGTTTTCAATTGACTGATAATGTTCTGTTGCACTTGAGTTAATGGAGCATCTTTCTCCATGCTCATTAACTCATCCTCCAAATCTTCAACTAACTCTTCTTCGTCTTTCAACTGTACAGCACTTGTGTCTCCATTTTGCTTTTCTGTATGAAATCTCTCCATGTGTTTTGTATAAGAATATTTCGAATGTAAAAAGATTTGACAATGCACACATTTTTGCTTAAACGCGCGTGTTCCTCTGTAGTGAGTGTGAGGGCCTCTTCTAATTTTCTTTTTGGTTGGTGATGCTGATGCGTTTGACTTCTGCGTAGAATCAGCTTCCATTACTGTATCTTCTTTATTTGAAAGTGGATTCAAAACAAGTTCACTGCCAGTAACAGATTCTATCTCTATAGTGCAATCCGTGTCATAGTCTTCTTGTGGCTCTGGCTTTATACATATGTCTAAATCTTTTGTTAATATTGGCGGAGCTTTTAACTGATCGCCTTCGTCATCAGTTATTTCTTGAACATGAACTGTATTCACAGAATCTTCTATACTTTCTTCAAGATTGTTTGACTCCTACAAAAAGGTTACAATATATTTTACACATTCTACCTTCAAATAATGTTTTCTACAAATCAAAGTACTCACCACATCGGACTCGACAGTGGATTCCGAAATAACTTCAATATTGTCTTCATAAAAGTCGAGATCCACAGGTTCATCTTTGATTGTTACAACCTGCAACAAGTAATTTATTCATTATAACCATCTACAGCATCTAAAACATGTAATTTGAACTAAGAAACGATCACTCACCATTGGGCTAGATTGCAAATGTTTTTCCAACCACTGCTGTAATGTTTCTTGCGATCGAAGACAAGCTTCCTTATAATTATGCCACTGATTCACATTTTTAACACATTGTGCACATATCTGAGTTGACAACTTGTCTGTGGCTAAAATCTAAAAGATGCACATAACGGGTAAAAATGATGCATGCCCCTAGGCACAAATCTAATAAATAAAAGTGCTAGGAAGCAAGATTAATACAAAATATGTTAAATTAATTTAAATCTGATTAGTATTTGCCAGACCAGTAAAGGTCAACAACAGTAAAGAGAAGTAAGAAGCTGAAGATCATCAGTTCTATGTTCCCTGACATAGGTCAGTCTAGACCTAACCTCAAATCAAACACATTGCGTATACACGAACGAATCGTTATGAATTCGAGAATAGAAGCGAGAGAAAGAAGCATACAGGATGTAAGGATTTTTAAAATGCAACATTTTCTACGCACCTGAATCGACAAGCAAGCTTGTATCTTACTGACTAACGATACCGGAGTTTCTTGCGTCCCGAACACCGACAATTTCGGCTCGTCGTCGGAGAGGCACAGCCTACACACATTTTCTATATTCTGCAACACCACCACTTCGTCCATTGCGGACGTTTATCGGCGTTGCCCTTCTCTGCGAAATATTGTTACGGTATTTTAGCTAGCAACGAAACGCACTTCTCACAGGCAGGTTAGGGACGCAGCGTTTTGTTTGTACGTCGACATTTGAAACTGATCGTGTACCGAGCGGTCCGTTTCGGCGCGTTCCGTGCGTCCAGGGAACAAGTTGGAAAAGGCGCGCATCACGCGACGCATCAGGTCAACTTACTGGACGTTCGCGTCCTTTCGGGGGACTCTTAATTATCAGTTAAACGTTATCATTGCTCGCGCATGTTGGCTGTGAAGAATTTACAACCGATGATAAGAAAAACTGGAATGCCAACAAGGACAAGAAGAGGGAGAGAATCTTACTGCAGGATTATTACTAAGAGGGAGGATCCAGGTGGAACAGAAGAACAACAACAATCAAGGTTGGTCGAATGGTTTTTTATTATCTATAATACTCTCCATTATACACTTTGACATGTAACTCTTTGCCGTTTGTACACGCCGGTTAGGCGGGTCGCACATACACAGCAGGTGAACCTAAACACACGATACATCTTTGCATGAGCTTTTAACGGCTGACAGTGTTATGAAACGAAGCAACCAAAATATTCTGTGCGCTTCGATCTTTGAAACGCTAGTTACAAATCATCTCCAGGTCGTTATAAAACTGATATAAAGTATAAAATCGAAAGGGTCCAAACGTGGATCTGATTAATCGAACGATGTAGCGCCATTTGGGACCATTAAGCAAGGACCATTATCGACAGTCACTAGATCAATACAATTTGATCATGAGATTCGAAAAACATAATCGGAAGGGAGTTCATCATGGATTTTTGATCGGAGAACAATTACTAGGACTAAAAATGTGTACATAGAATTCTACGCGTGATCTTTTGCTTGGCTAAAGTACTTTGATAAGCCGTGTCTAACCTACAAGGGGCAAGCTTCTGCGTCGAAACTTATTGAGCGTTCGTTACAAATGTGTCGTGAACGCGGCAGCTATGAAATTATTCGCGGAGAGCTCTTCTTCTACCGGACGGTCCTAAAACCGCCCGTCTACTTGGTACAATGTTTGGCGAGCTTTCGCGTATACTTCCATTCAAAGACACCGCAAGGATTGTACATAGTGCAAATTAGAACCATCGAGGCGTTCCTAAAACTATTTCCGAGAATCTCTCGTGGAGCTATTCACATTAATGTACAGTACAGGAGTAATACATATATTTATTTATACATATATATATTTATATATTTCTATACACGTATGGTCAACAACAATCACTCTATCTGTTCCCTCTTCAAAAATATCCTCCATCTTCGTGCGCTTGTTCCTTTGTGCTTCGATCGAACGAAAAAATTGCGCTCCTTGAAAGGTTTTGTTAAATTAAATATTTCTAATCGATCGCCGTGTATTCGTGTCCCATCTCGTCGGCGCGCGGGACGATTAAGATAATTCAGCTCCGATTTCTGCATCCGGTCGTTGTTACGAACACTCGAACAGTCGCGACGTCTTCGCGCCATTCTCGCGGCCAACGAGTTCCGGTCCGCGCTCCACCGTTCCGCTCGATCTATCGTCGGGAAACGTGCGCGTGCGGCTGTTGCGCAATTCAGGTCGTCAGGCAATTGGAGTTGAAGCAGGAACTCCGCTGAGATTGCTGACGAACGTAGTCCTGGACGTTGAATTTCGTATCGTCCGGATCGCTGCTTTTCTTTGCCTTCAAGTCCCTGGAAATATATTAATTCTTTGTCCACATTATTAAATAAAGTATATATTTCAATGAAGATCGTCCGGATTTTCTTGATGACATCCTCTTTTTAACCTCTTCTAAAACTTCCGATTTGACGGTAGATGAATCTTTATCGTGGTACTTATTTTATTGAAAAATATTTGATAAGGAAAAGGCATTAGTATAGAGTATCTTTAGATTACAATTTGTGTTTCTATTATTTGATCCATAGCAACCCAGGATTAAATAAAAAATAAAGAGAAACATATAAAGAGTATTTTTGTTCATTAGGCGCTTTCTCTATGAACAATTAAAACTCTTTCTCAATAGAAACTAAAAGACAAGTTTCAATGAAGACGTCTTTAACGTTGGTCTGTTATCACATGCGCAAAGGCGAAGTGTGAAGCTAAAGGTCCATATCCACTTTTATTAAAAAAAGGATTCTAACTTTTTTAAAACCGCGTAGCAGCTATTGTAGCAGTCGGAGTGTGAATTTCAAATAGCTTCACGACCAAATGCTGCTCAAACTGTTCGTAGCTAATTGCGTTTCTAAGAGGGTAGCCTTGAAGGACAGCTCGTGTCAATTCCGTACACCTGCGACTTAAACACTGCCATTGTCGTAGCCGAGCAGTTCCTCGAAATGGCCGCCGCAATGATATCATCGTGACAAGAATCCTTTTTTCAATATGCCAGCGGGAACCGCGGGAACATTCATGAAATACCTAGCCACAGCGAGGAAGGCCAATTCGACGTTCAGGCCGGTTTTAGCTGAGGTCTCCATAAAGGGGACTTTGTACTCTTGCGCTAGCCGTTCACCGTCTTCCCTTTTCACGACCCGCTCCGTTCCACAGTCCGACTTGTTCCCTGAAAACAGTCGTGATAATTTGTTCTAATCAACTGTACATCGATCGGATTGTAGTTCCTACACAGCTACGAGCGGATTACTCGAAACTATTGAGGTTCCAGTCTCCAATTGAAACTGATAAAGGAATTCTCGATGTTGGATAGCAACCCTTCTCTTCTTCCTCGATTATCCCAATTCTCATGATCTTAGCAACCCCGTAACGAGCGTTACGTCACCGTTAATCAATCATTCCACCAACCAGTGTTTCCTCGATAGCGGGACTCCCCAATACTTGTTCTCAAACTGTTCTTTCTAACTTTCTACGAAGACAAGAAACTAATCTGGACCAGTCGTTACTGCACACGGACGCGTCGATCGTTGCAACTTTCCCGGGAACGAGGTGACAAAGTGATCTATCCAGCTTCTACGTCCTGCTTCCTTTAATAGTTTCACTACCGGAGACTGAGACTTATCTTCTCGGTAATAGGATGCTTGTGCTGTTCGTTCTTAGCTAACTGTCTACCGGTAGTCGACGACCTAGTTCATTTGGTTAAATCAACTATAATGTGTATAATATTGGCAATAACAGTAATATTTATAATATAACTTGGTAAATCTTGGAAAAGTAAATTTTCCATATTTTCCGAATACAGAGCAACCACTATACTTCGTGCGACATGAAAATTGCTCAACGGCTAATCTGTTAATTTTAGCAGTTAGATATTTTGGAAGTTATAGAGAACGCACTGATAATCGTTTAACTTTTTCGGTTGCGAATAATCGCCGAACTCACCCAACAACATGATGACTACATCTTCATTCGCGTGTTCCCGAATTTCACTTAGCCAGGCCCTGATGTTGTCATAACTGGTCTTGTTGGTCACGTCATACAGTAATAGAAGCGCTGAAAATAATAATCATCGATCAATTCAGTAGCTAGTTATGTGGGTATGCGTATGGTCCTGTTTGAACTCCTTCTGCTGATCAATTGGAATTTCTTCTTGATCGAAAGAAAGTTGTTTAGAAGCCAGGCTAGGAGGTTCTATCGGTTGGTTAATGGAAACGAAGATGGCATTGTCGAAGCGTCTCTGCCACGTAATTGTTACCATGCCTTTGAAACATCTAAGTATTGTCGCTGCGACGTCTTTAAAGAGGATACCTCCAGGCCGAACAATAGGGGCACCTCCTACTTTACGGCGGATGCGGCGTTTCCTTCTATGTCTCTTTTGCTGTGAATCCAGTTAAGTAGCTTCCCGAAATTAACGCCCCAGTTGGGTTTAAGACCGCGCCCACGACCTACATTGTCATTGGCGACGCGACATTCAGAAAAAATGTTTTGTTTACCAAACTATCTAAACTAAGGACAAACGAAACATTTTTGCTTATGAATCATAGTATGTGCAAATCTCGCCAGTTGATTTCTGATTTATATTTCTGTCAGACAGCACAAGATAAAAAACAAACACAGAGCATTTTACATGAGAACTGCGAATTTTCAACGCAGTTTAACGAACAAACTTCTTTTGCATAGTTAGCACGTAGAACGCGGTCTCGCGTCTGCCAATAGAATTTGCATAATGCTAGTCTATGCAGTGTTCTCGATTTTTTGTCACCGTATTTACCAGTCAGGTGAAAAAGTTCATCAGCATTTCGATTATCGAGTAAACAGACTTTTTCATCCCTATTACGAGTACGACCCGGTTTTATTGGCCGTTGCCATGGCGCGAGGCAACTCGCAAATGATAGCCTGGTTTACCATCGTCCGAGCGTTTCCAGTCCGATTGAGATAATAATTAAAAGGGAGGAAGAAATAGGATTACCGTGAGCGTCTCGGTAGTAAGCGTGTGTCACGCTGCGAAATCTTTCTTGACCAGCGGTGTCCCATATCTGAAGCTTCACCGAGGTGTCATCTACGAGAACCACTTTATTCTGAAAAAACAATCGAATTTTATACGTTTCTTCCATTAGGCAACTTTTTACTTAGCAACTTAGCAACTCAGCAAATCGATCGTGCAAAAGGTTCTGTCGCAATCTTCCTGATCTTTTTATCCAAATGCGAGCAATGCGTTTCGTTCTCGGGGAAAGGGACAAAGTGGATAAAGTGGACATCGACGCCTTGAGCAGGGATTAACGGACTCTCACCCTAAAATCAATGCCGACGGTGGTAATGTAGTTGCCGGACAGGAAGCGGCCATCCCTGAACCGCGTTAGGAGACAGGTTTTCCCAACACCGCTGTCGCCCAATAGGATCACCTACGGTATTGTGGAAACTTTCTGTGAAAATGGTCACGAAACTGCGGGGAAACTCTTTCTTACAATTAGAGAGATTAAACACTAATGGACGCTTTCAGTAGCAATCGGGTTATTTGCTTTCTCAGCTGTAGACATTTCTAGCTGAGTGTTCTTTAATAAATAAGTTAATATGAAGCCTTTCTATATTTGCCTTATTGACATTTTTAAAAGATACAGATAATTGATAATTATGTGGCACGGGCTATCTTTGCGATACACACAGCTAATTACGGATCGCCTCTGAACGTCTTACTTACAATTACTACAATAAGTTTACTTATGCAACAAAGTAACGTTACTTAAGTTTATAGGTAATACAGTAAAAACTGGCACGCTTAGTGGTATCTAACATAGTTGTACATCTGTCGCGCGGGAAACTGATTGACAGGGACTGGTATATGATTATTTCTGGTTTAGTAACTCTCTGGCAAATAAACCAATCCCAGAAAGAACTAAATGAATAAATCCTCCGACAGATCTATATTCGAATTAATTTCACTCCCGTTGAGAAGCGTGTTTAATCCTCCGCTTGCCGACGAGTCAAGGTCCATTTATATGCAAGAACTGCCGAAATGAAACCTGGTCATAAGTATGCATATAAGTGGTTAAAATTTATTATTGCTCCAGTTAAAGAATGAAATAAAATCCGCTTTCAAAATTGGGACGTCGGCTCTAAAACCGGTCGAATGTTATTTTACATCTTTTATTTCCTACGAGTTTATTCATCCTCAATAAAGTCATCCTAACAGATAGAACGAATAGTGATTAACCTTCTCGCTGTACTTTATTATTTCGCTTGATTATACAATAATTAGAATCAAAATACTGATGCGCAAAATTCAATTTGCGAGAGGATATTACGTATAATACGACTTGCCAGTTCGATCCATCGATCATTGGTTGCGTATTACACTAACGCGGCAAAGTATTCCATCATGTACAACATCTACAACATATGACAAAGAATATAAAAAACACCAGCGGCTATCGTGTCTTAATTGTTTCACCGTGCAAAACTTCAATTATTTACTTTCTTCCAAGAAACTCTAAACTGATTGTTCATCAAGAATTATGAATACACTTCCTTTTCCTTCTCCATCTGTATCACATTTTTCTAAAAAATAGATATGTTACAGTCTCACAACTACGACAAAACGGTATCCTTCATCCCCTTCTTTACTCAAGCAACAATATTTATCTCAAAACTATAAGACACTACATATCTACCCCACATGTGACAGAAACATAATCCGAAGCTCCCCAGGTCTTCCTTGCCTATATAAATGGACCTTAAATCGTTCCCGCAACAGCGCGGTCTTATTCAGAGTGTATCAGGAGAGAGGGCAGGACCTTGAAAAGGAGCTCGCCGTGCTCGGGTGGGGCTTGTTGGCCCGCGGAGTCGACGCTGTCCCGCGAGGACAGTCGCCTGGTAGGGCCCATCGGCTCTTGGGACCTGTTGAAAGCTGTGGTGCTGGCCTGCGCACTGGAGGGGACAGGTTGGGCCGTGCCCCTAGCCCCTCCAGAGGTGCCAGGCCCGGCCGACCAATCAGCGCCCGGCTGCTTGCCGCCACGTGACCCGTGTCTGCTACGCTTCGTCACGCTACGCAGCTTCTCCTCCACAGTGCTCATGGGCCCCTGCTACCGAGAGCACCAATTTGCTCTTCTTCTTCTCGGCCACTCCTCGTCGCGCTTGTCGTCGCCGTCGCACGTTCGTCCTTCTCCACCTCCACCACCACCACCTCCTCCACACCTTCTCCTCCTTCCTCCTCCTTCCACGTTCCTGCTCCTGCGCTCCTTCTGCTTCTCTCCTCGCAGCCGCGGTGGTTACCGGCGTTGGATCAGCCAGCCGCCTTCCGTCTCTCCCTCAAGGTCAATCAACTTTCGACCAAAGGAACGGGAGGCAGCGGGGGAGAGGTCTTTCACTTCGCGCGCCTCTTCTACCTTCTCTCCTTTGCCCGCTTCTTCTTCGCCGAGCCTGACCGATCAACGAACACGGAGTGAAAGTCTGGCCGTAGCCGATACGCGGGATCGCGAGGCCGCGCGAGGACTTATTCCCTCGCTAGACGGCCCCGCGTGTCCGATCCTTTTTTGTTTAGGAAACCTTCGGTTGCCGGATTATTGGAGTTTAGAAAGAAGATTGGGTAGAGGATGGTTAGCTATTGAAATGGTCACAGCTGTTGGGCGATTTGAACCCTGTTTGAACGCACTATCGGTCGTATGATATTCACTGGTTTTAGAGGATACTTCGGTTTTACTGAATTGGTTCTAGTTTTATTTGCAAATTGTATGGAAACACTCAATGCCGTGTTATTTTGAGCAGTGGGCGACAGGAAAATTCAACTGACAAACTGAAATTGAAAGAGAAAGATAAAAATCAAGTTCTATGATGATCGTAGCTCTGTACTGGATTTTTAGTGATGTATCACCAACAGGACAAAATTAGCCTACTTATATATATTAAAACTGAAGAAACATGTTCTAAAATAATATTCTAAATTGAATAAATACAAACATTGAAGTATGAAGTGTTGAATTCATCGTCTTATGTTACAAAGAGGGTGTATCAAGAACAAACGGGCGTTAAAATGGAGTTTTCATATAGGAGACAACTGCTCTCATTGCAACGTTGAAGATCGACTTAACGAACACTTTTTGACAGAAATATTATGAATATTGTTATACTGAATCGATCATTTCTTTTCTCCGAGAGTAGATCATTAATCTTTACGTCGTTAATTAATGCAGTCAGGGGAGCGTCCAATTTCATTGACACCACAGATAAATTAATAGAAGCGACATATCGAAGCGTCATAAACGCTCGGCTTGTTGCACGGCGGATTGCGTAACGGGTTAGAGCGCGTATGTGTCGATCGAGCGCGTGCGTCATGCACGGTTGCATAAACAGTGAGCACGTTTTAATTAATCCACGAAATACGCTTGTTCCCATCAATTCCCGACCGTTATTACCAGCGACGCGCACGGCTCAATGATCACCTCGAGTGTTTGCCTGCTCGAATTCCGCGTGCACCGTGATTCACCATTGTTTTCGGGACAGTGTTCCGTCGTCAATAATTAGACTAATTAGTTACATCGGTTTAGAAACGCGAATATTGATGTTTCGAAGCGTAGTGAGGTTCAACGATCGATCGCTGATGGAAATATTAAGGGGCATCAAGATCTCATTGTTCGGGGCAAATGTCTTGCAATCACCTAACAAGGATTGCGTTTGAATGATGATATAGAACTAGAAATATAGTCACACAAATCTGAAGACATGTCTCCATAATTTTACATATTAAATATTCAAGGTTTCAATCTTCTTCTTCATCAATAGCGAATAAAATATTTCAAACAAATCACTTTAGTCCGGCAGAAAATGAATATAGGTCTCCTCACTTGACAAATGCAAACTTGTAATCTTCAACCTGAAACTTCCTTTATTTCCTACTTAACAACTGAAGCATCAATTTATTTTTACACCCATATCGATAAACATCAGAAGTGTCCTTAAAATGAAACCGTAATAAATTTTCCAATTAACTCACGGTAAACGATGAACCATCAAAGATCAGCTAATCGATGTCAAGAACCGCTGATTCAAAAGTTTTCGGCGGCAGGGAGCAATGCAGCCGCACGAACGATATTTAACGCGGTGTCGCTCGACTGAACGCGTCGATTTTGAAAAAGAGCGGAGGATGAACATTGAAAAATCGTGGACGGGAGTTGCGTTTTCAACTGCGGAACCCATGGACCGAAGTTTCGGCGCTGTCGCGGATGCTTCCTTGTTCCATGGAAATCACGGCCGCGTTTCGTACAGTTTTATACGCGCCGGCGACGCGGCCACCGAGCCGGAAACTCGATTCTTCCGGGGCCGGGCTCTGTTACGCGTGGTAAAACGCTACACGCGAGCGCAGATTTTATCTGTAGCCCCCTGTGGGAGGTAGCCGCGGCCTAGAACGCGGGCGGAACCGGCGAAAGGATGGATAAACATGACGTCGCCGGTCTCTTTCGCGATTCCTTCTTCCCTTTACAAGTTTCTGTCTCGTTATTGCGAGTCACGTACTTCCCCTCCGCTCAGAGGATCGGATTCGTTGGGCTCGGGGAAAACGTTTCTCGTGTTTCCCGGCTGATACAATTGCTTGTATACATTCGCCGGAACATTTTGTATTCTACAAATTGAATTGCTTGCACTTGCCGAAGTGCTTTGAAGCAAAATGTTTCTTCGTAATAATTCAGTCGTAGGAACGTTTCTTTATATGAGTGTATAGATGATTTCTTTTAGTAGGTTAACGTTAAAGGATTATTTTGAATAAAATCCATGTATAAAGGATGAAAAACCTACTGTCACTTCGGTAATAATGATTAACGCTTGTTCGGGCGAACGCTACAACCTGTTGGCAATATGTCGAGACAATACAGAAGTTATAAAACTTTACAGCCCCTGAATCAAAAATCCGTGAAAGTAAAGCGAGCTTAAGAATCCATAAATAATCCTTTACAACTTCATTTAACAAATACGTGTCAATAGTTAAATAATTGCGTTTTAATTGCCGAAACAGTTTACGTCGCAGTTAATAGCAGTTCCCTCAATGTTGGTTCGAATCATGCAAATGTTTCTCGTAAAATTCGAGTATTTCACTCGTGGAGCAATCGGTGCAACTATTTCCCACGTAGGTAGGAGCTTTAATTTACGTTCGTTTCGCGAGTTAAACAGTGGCCGACGACTGTTTGAACTCAAAAGTGTCTAATAAATAAATTTTCATTTGCCGCGGAACGACTGAACATAACTTACTTCCCTTAACATTAAGCAACGTCAGTAATCCCTAAAAAAATGGAAAAAATACCAGAATATAGAAATATTTAGGTATTAATCATGAAAAATTAATAAAAAACAAAACTCGGATTACTCAACAATAAAACCTGAATAAAGGATCGCAGTTTCGAATTTTAAAATAATATACCCACGATAAAACTGTAAGCTATATGATGCCCCAATAAAAAATGAACGATTAAAAATGTCCACAAGTACTTTTCGCAGAAATCCTTCTTCGATCCCTCTTTGCAACGCTGCGAATTAACATTTTCCCGTCATTTCTGTCGAAATTACAATACAGGATCGCGCGTGATTTTATTCGGTCGGGGCGGGGGTCGACACCGTCGCCCAAAGTGATAAAATAACTCTCGTTTAATGAGACGGCCGCTCGTTAACCGAATGGACGACGCTGGGAAGCGTGGCGCGACCGCGAAAGGCGTGTTCGTTAGCCGATCGGGCAAAAATCGACATTTCCGTCCGGGCAAATTAAAGCCGAGCAATTACTAACTTGTCATGACGCAATTGCCGCGTCAAGGCTGGCCGTGCATGCTAACGAGTTGTCTTGCACGACCGCTCGAAAATGATGTCGGCAACGCGTTCGTTCCGAATAATATCCGCGCGCTAGTAAGTTCTCGCGGAACAACCGTGAAACTGTAAATTAAGAGAACCCGCGCAAACATTTCCGATCGAACATCGGAACAAAAGGTTATTCAATTTTCCACGGGAATAAAAGCGCCGTGGCTCGCCGGGTTACTAACTAACCGTGCTATAACGATCGTGCGTCCGCAATCAACCGGCATAAATAACGAATTTTAATTCCCTAAAAACCGCGTCGGGCCCCGGAAGGAACGCCACCGAGAGCTAATTGAACAAACAGAACAATTGCCGCCCGCCCGCGACGATAGTGTTAACGAGATAGATTCTAGTTAGCGGCGGACGCGTCCCGGACAATTCAGCCGCGGCTTCATAGCTCGCTACCGGGAATCTATAAAAAGCGAATTTACGACGTGCTTCGGATAACGAGAATCGCACGGGACGCGAGGTGCTAGATTCGAACGCGCAAATCAATTAGGTTTAAGCAAAATCGCTAAACTATTTATAGACAGCTTTATCTGGAAAAATTTGGAAAATAGAGTAGAAGAATGTTTCTTATTTCATTAGCAAGTCTTTTACCTCGTATTTCGTGCTTTAGTCTGAAGTATCTTCAGTATTCACGGATTCTTGTATCGTATAACACCTGACAGTGAAGAATAAGAATAAAACACTTATCTACCTAATTATGATTTCTACCAATGTCACATACTTGCAAAAACCAAAATCTTTGTACAAGGAAACTGGAATTAACGTTCCGCGCATTGTTATTTGAAGTTAAAAAACGTCTAGTTGGATGTTTTAGTTTCCAGAATATTAGCAATGAAGCCCATGAAACGTGAATTCCGAGAAAAACCAGTTAGCTTCGACTGGACTACTTATATTTGTGTAATAATAAGACACTAAATCGTGTGTACAAAGTAAGGAGTACAAGAGAATGTTCGAAGTGTATAGAATACAGGGGTTCGGAGCTAAGTTTAGGGAAGTTGAGTCAGCCTGTTAGCGCCCCGAGGAGATTCCCGGGCGGATTTGGTTGTAAAAACTGAACGGTGATGCAGATACGAGGCCGGCCGGTCCAGCCTACCGCTTTGGGCCCACCCACGCCGTACCTGGCGTCAAAAAACCCCTCGGGGTTCAGACGAGCAGGCCCTGTTGCCGGCGCGGTCGACCCGACTGGTGGCGCCCTTCGCCGAGCCTTCCTCCTCTGAGTCGGAATTCGGAACGAGCGTAACTACGGAGCTGTACAATGAATTCTTTCGGCGCTTCTTTTATTATTAATACAATTTAATAGCCTAGTCTTGATAGATAAATCTAACAATTCATTTAATGAAATATTTCAAACAAATTTTCCATTAATTTTGGTTCTTGGCCACGTAATAATTCACAAGAAAATAATTAAAAAAGAATTTCCTCCATAGAATTTTATTATTTTCAATTTGTTCGGTTGGCACTTCCTTGGTTATGGCTTCCTATAATATCTACAGGCATAAACGAGAACCAGAAATACTTCGTGGCGCAGTATTTCCAAAATTACAGTGGATATTAAGACATTTGGAACAGCTGCGAATTTT